CTCCAGCTGACACTCCTGCTGCCCACAGCCCAAGGCAGCTGGTCCAGGAAGACCATTCTGTGGGGCGCCATTGTGTACCTGGGCTCCTGTGGATGGAGCCAAGTCTCAGATCAGGCTTCTGCCTAGACATGGCTGCCTGCTCCTTGCGCAGGGTGGTTTGGACTACAGGCAGCAGGTTGTTTGATACCAGCCTGCCTCTGCCCACCACTCAGCTATGGTGGAGATGGAGTCAGCCAGGCATGGGCTCAGACCCATGCCAGTCTGACTTGACTCTGGTAAAACCTCTGCAATAATAACCAGCAGCAGCAACAGCAAGAATGGTGGGCTTCAGCTGACCACTTCCCTAGCAGCATTCTGGTGAGTCCCAAGGCTGCCTAGGGACTTTCCCATGAGGGACGGGAGGTGTCTTGGAAGTATATATCACCTGTGGTCATGAGAAAAGGGCAGGACAGAGCCCTGAGCTATTGGTGGGTTGTCCTAGCCTTCCAGGCCCATCTGGTCCCTGGCTGAGCCCTGCCACACAGGAGGAGACTGTGCTGGGATACCCCTCCCATAGGGCACCCCCTCCAGTCTGGCAGGCCACCTCACAAGCTCACAGGGTGAGGTGCTGCCAGAGGGCCCACCATGGCTGGAGTCCCATCACTGAGGCTGCCTGCAGGGCACTTCCCAGGGTCTTAATCTGCAGACAGAGTCTAAGTCCCCAGGTTGCAGAAGACATCAGGCTGCAGGAGGGAGCGCAATAGAGGGGCTAGTGCACAACACAGAGACCACAAATGAATTCTGATTCAGACCTCTGCTCTCCTCCCTTTGACACCCACCCCTGTATGCCTGGGTTACTTCCCTCTGACTACACTTGCTAGGTAGGTCTACTATTGAGTCACACCTCCAGCCCTTTTTGCTCTATTATTTTGGAGGTAGGGTCTTGCTTTTTGCCCAAGCTGGCCTGGACCAAGATCTTCCTATTTTATGCTTTCCATGTAGCTGAAATGACAGGTCTCTGCTGCCACACTCAGCTTTTTCTCTGTTAAGATAGGGTATCAGGAACTTCTTGCACAGGCTGGCTTGGAACCGTAATCCTCCTACCTCAGACTCCCAAGTAGCTAAGATTATGGGTGTGAACTATCAGCACCCAGCTGAGTGCATGAAGTTTTGAAAGTTTCCAGAAGCAGTCAGTGCTCCTCTGTTAGATGAGAGCTGCAGTGGAAAAGCATGAGGTGCCAGGTCTGTGTCCTCTTCCAGTGACAGTGTAGACAAATCTGTCCTGGCACCTGGAGCCTCCCCAGAGTCCTTCTGCTCTTGCTGCGAGGCTCCATCCTGAGGGACCTGTCCTGTCACTTGCCTCTGATGACAGAGGCGTATTTCTGATCAAGAGGATCATTTCTTCTCCTTACAGAAGGAACATGAGCTCTCCCACTCAGACAGAGTCATCAAGGGAGCAGTGCTAGGGACTCAAAGCACTGCTCCAGGAGCTATCTGCTCTTCTCCAGTGCTCTGGGCACAGGGCAAGGCTGGGGGCTGAGCAACTTTGCTGAGCCGAAAAGCTGCAGAGTGGGAGCCAGTACCCAAGAGCCCAGTGGCTCAGAGCACATTGCTGGTTGGAAGCCTTGGGCTTAGCCATCTATGACTTGCGCATTCTCTGGGTGACTGGGGCTGGGGGAGTAGGGTTGCGTGCTCACCAGGGCCTGAGTATCTCAGGCCATGGCTTGTCCCTTGTGCACACAGTATGACAGCAGTGGCCCCTGCAGGTAAGGTTCTCAGCAACCTTTCTTTGTGCCTTTTTGTCGTTTCTAAATGACCTGCAGTGAACTTGCAGCATTTACTTTGCGAACAGGAAAAGCACATCTCCATCATGTACAAAGCTTGTGGAATGAAGGCAGGTTGGTCACCTGTGATTTTCCCCCTTCTCACACTGGCCCCTTTGCCTCTCCTCTGACAGCACTTGTGGGCATCTCTCTGCCTCTCCTCCACTCCCAGCCTGGTAAGGGTGGGAGGCATCACTGTCATAATGTCCTGGACTCTAGCTGCAGCTCTCCACTTATGGAGGGATGCAGTAGTTTGCAGACCAGAAGCCAGGATGGAATGCAAGCATGCTCCTTGTTGGTTCTGTGACTTCAGGTGATTGTGCTCTCCCTTACCCTCCCATCCCTCAGCATATTGGGAAGGACACGGCCTACCGTGATTTAGAATGTTTCAAGTAATAATATCAGGGACATACAATATTTTATTTTGCCATTCTGCCAATATTGGACATCCATGTTATTGCTAATACTGTTTTTATAAATTTTGCTAAATGCTGTAATGTCATGTCTTCCCTTAAGCAGAATCCTAAAACAGGAGACACTAAGTTCAGGTATAGGAACTTCTTATGGCTCCAGAAACCTTGTTCCACTTTCCAGCACCAATATTACCAAAGTCTGCCAGTTTCTTAAAACAGAATCTTACCAAAATTATAATTTCCATGGCTGTGCATCCTGACAAACAGTAGACCCAGGGCCCCTGCCCAGAACGGAGCACAGAGACAAGCCACTTGCATTGTTTCTCTGTTTCCATCATTTCCCATTGTGCAGGTGTGTGGTTTACTCTTTCTTTGGACAACTATTAAGACCCTGCTGTGCATCTGTTCTAAACCCTTGGGCATTTGGTAGGAAAGAAAAGACCAGAGCCCTTGCATCATGAAGTTTATTTTCTGTAAAGAAAAGAAAGACAAGAAGTAAACATAAGGTGGATCAGAGAGCAATAAGTGTGACCAAAAGCAAGCAGGAAAAGGAGATGGGGGTGTGGAATGGGGCTGTAAACACTGGAAGGAAGAATAAGGACAGCAAGTGCCAAGGCTCTGAGGCAGGGCTGTGCCTGAGTTGAAGAAAAACAGGAGGCTGTGGTTCTGATCAGCATGAGCAAGGAAGAGTAACAGAGGTGAGGACAGAGCGTATAAGGGATGGCCATTGAGAGACTTTGCCTGTTGCTCTCATTGAAGAGTGAAGCCATTCGTGGGTATTGCCTTGATCTGGTTTGCACTTAGCAAAGATCTTCCTCATAGGAAAATGAGTGAGGGTGAAAGCAGGAGACTGCTACCACGATCCGTGCAGGTGACCGAGGCACATAGCAGGAGGGGAGGGTGGAGTGGTCATTAAGACCTGTGGGTGGTTTGGCTGTGGGTGACAGAAATGATGTCACCCACATTATAAGGACACCTTGGAAGGACAGTTTCTATTTGCTGAGGTGGAAACCAGCGGGGAGCCATGGTTTGGAATTGCTGACTGGGGAGGAGAAAGAATTTTCCTTGCTGAAACCAGGATGCCACCTTGATTTGGAGGCCCTTTCCCCACGCTGTCATTTTGGTGGCCTTGCTGCTCTCTCACACCTGTGTGATACTAAAACAATGGGCCTTCTGACATAACGGCTCCATCACAGACGGACACATTTCTCACTAGTGGTCAGAGTAGCCGCCACCAACCAGCTAGTTAAATCATGTCTATGGTAAGTTTTGATGTCTTGTGGGCACAAAACTGTTGCTAGCCTTTTCTAAAAATTTCTTGGCAACTTTTCTGTATTTTTCAGTTATCAACATTAATATTCATATGACTAATGATCTCCCCCAAATATCCACTAAGATTTTTATTAAGCTTGTTTACAACCTGAGAAACACTTTATCTCTTGAAATCGAGCTTCATATGAGGAACACTGCCTGTCTCTCTTTGTTTCGACATTAAGACTTAAGGTCTTTAGATTCCTGTGTGTATCCCACCTCTTGGACGGCCCTCATCCTGACTGTTTAGTAGCTTCGTCATTCATGTGATTGAAATTTTTTTCTACAATTCGATTTATAACTAGTTATAGTTACTGTTTTTAAAAAGTGGTCTTTTTGTGTTTTTAGCTTGAATTGGGCCTCTTTCCTAATTTTTCTTACTGAAATTTTCTAGTTGTACAGTCACGTCCACAAATAATGACTCTGTCTTGAGCATTTTACTCCCTCATCTACTCATCTTATCCCAAAAGATGGTTCCTCCAGAAGTAACAGTGGACACAGCCTTTCACTCTTGATTTTAACGCTTTGAATTTCACCTGTCTAGCCAGGTGTGGAAGTGCACACCTGTGATCCCAGCACTTGTGGGCTGAGGCAGGAGGGTTGTAAGTTTGAGACCAGCCTGAGGTACAGACTGAGACTCAAAAATAAACAAAATTTGCCCATTTAGCATGATGCATACTCAGGCTGGGGATGATGGTTTTATTTTTACATAGCTTATCCAATCCCTTCTTTCCCTATTCTGAACTTTTTATCAGGAGTGGCTGCTGAACTTTGTCACATGCTGTGTGGCCACCTGTTGACATGTGGCCTTTGCTAATGTAAGGAAATGAAAGACTCGAAGCTCCTTGAAGCACTCTTATACTTGGAATAAACCCCACTTGGTCTTAGTGAATAATTTTGAAATATAGTACTGAATATTACTTTATTTTAGAATTTTTGCATTAATAGTCATAAATTAGAGTGGTTTATATTTTTATCATATCTTGGTATTTGGATAATATACAATGATTGTAATTCTATATATTGCTTTTTGTAGGCTGGAATAATTTGACTAATGTAAAAATTATCTATTCCCTGAGGATTCAATACAGCTTGCCTTTAAAATCATCTAGGCTTGACACCTTTTTAACAACAGATGGTAGATCTTTTTTCCATTCCTTTTGTGGTTACCTGTCTATTCAGGCTTTTCTAATACCTCAGTTAAACTTAGTAATCCTTATTTTTCTAGAAAGCTGTCCCATGTCCTCTAGAGTTTGAAACATATTAACCTACCATGCTCTGTTAGAACTCCTCACATCTGTGCTTAGAATACAGTCTGCTTCAGCTTTACACTTTCAAGAGCATTCCTGTACATCACGTCAGGTGAAGTCAGAGGTGAGGACAGATGAGGAAAAAGTGGGTAAGTAGCTCACTGCAGGGTTACACGGCCAGGCAGAGGCAGAGTCTAGACTCAGACCCATGACTGCATTTTCCCATGCCGGCTGCTTACCTGTCCTTCCCAGCAGTGTTCACCAGGGGCCCCAGCCTTCGGGTCCAGAGGAGTGACACTGTGCAGCTGGACTCAGGGGGGCTCTGCACCCAGAAAGGGATCCTCTGCTCCCTGGGAGCCAGCAGTCCTTGGAAGGTTCAGGAAATTCCAGGGTACTCCTTAGCTCTGTGGAGTGCATTTTCAACTGTTTGAATTCTGAAAACACTTAAAATGCATGAGTAACATCAATTTTATTTTCTAAAATGAGAGCAGAATAGCTCGTTTACTTTCTAAGTGGCTCCAAATGGACAAATTTAGAAGCTTCATTAGCCTGTGAGAGGTCGAAGAGGAGGTGGGCTTTGGTGGGAGTGGAAGTGTGTGGTCATGCTTCTGAGGGCACACCCAGCACTGGCCTATTTTTGATAAAGTTTCCTGAAGTATAAAATACCTTATGCATTATGTTGACTTCTCTGTCCTAGGGAGTAGTAATATATAGTACAAACTTTCTTAAAATAAATCATGACCAAGTTTTAATTCTCGTTGTGGGGATTCAATGTGGTAATCTGCTGACCCCCAGCACAGCATAGGTGTGTGGTAAGAGCTGTCATCTGTGCCAAGGGTCACAATGGGGGGAAGCCCAGTATGTCCCAGAATATGCCCAGGTCCTGGGACAGATTTCATGCATTGCTACCCTCAGATTCTCATGGAGCCAGAGCTGTACCTTCTCTCCCAGCACCTCCACTCCTCATACGGCAGGAGCTGACCTGTTGGTTACCGTCACCACAGGCCTGGCTTTGGGGGGCATTTTTCTAACTGAGCGAGTAGGTACATGTCAAGGCTGCTCCCCAGCCATGCCCACTCCCCACTGGCCTCTGCTCCTTTGCAGAAGACTGGGGACTGTGTTACCCCACCAGCTTCTCCCCCAGAGCCTCAGTCTCCCAAGCCTGACTTCAGCATGGAGCCCAGTCTCCCCAGTGCCCCCTCCTGATCAGCCTCAGATAAACCTAGAGGCCTTGGGGATTTCCAGGGTCCCTCTGCTGATACACCCTGAGTGACTGTCCCTTGCTTGCTTGCTATTCCTCCTTCCATCTGTCGGCACAGTGAGCATCAGCAGGTGCTGAAGCCAGGGTGCAGTGCTCAGCCCTTTCTGGCTCTCAGTGCCTCAAGCAAGCCCTCTTGCCGGTACATAGCATAGACGTGGAGAGAAGGACTCTCCTACTGCCCCTTTCCTCCTCAAGTCCTGCTGACTCCACCACAGTTCACATCCCTCGTTCAGCACCATGGACAGCTTCTCCCTCCACCCAGGCTTCCACTGGCCTAGAAGGGCAGAGTCCTATCTAACCCAAACCAGTATGCCTGGAGTGGCTCTGCAGTAGATCTCGCCACACTCATTAGAACTAAATCCCTGTGGGTCAGTTGCAGGCTGTAGTTGGTGCTGCAATACAATGTTGTGACAGCCGTCAAAAAATGCTAACTGTGAGCAAACCCACTCAGCTTGTGTCCTGACGTGAAAGCCACCTGCATGCGGATCCCTGCTGATTCCTGGGCAATGCACAGCAGGCCCATGCTGCATGTTTGTTACATGAACCAAAAGACAGGCTGAAGGAGAGAGAGGATGAGGGCAAAGGGTGTACCCTCCCCGGGGCGGCTCAGTTTAGGCAATTCATCTTCTAGGGTGTGGCCCTGCCTGTGGTGTTTTCTCCAGTGGCAGGGAGCCCAGGCTTCCACACGGCCTACTTTGTCTGAGCTGTGGTTCAAAACTGAAGTGCTGTGCCTGGCTTCTCTTCCCCACTGAGCTGTGCCTCCCTGGGACTTGCCCCAGGTGCTGGGCCCAGAACCAAGAAAGCCACCCAGCTGGTCAATTTCCATTCTGTTCTGTGCAGGCTGCTGATGAGTGGGCCGAGAAAATGCCCAAAGCATCGCCCAGATCTCCCAGAGAAGTGGCCAACAGAGACATCCTGGCACGGCTCCACAGGGCAGTGACTGCCCATTACCATGCCATTGCCCAGGAGTTTGAGAACTTTGACACCATGAAAAACAACACGGCTTCCAGAGACGAGTTCAGGGCCATCTGTACACGCCACGTGCAGATCCTGACTGACGAGCAGGTAAGATGTGTTGGGCAACTCACCCTGAGCAGTGTCTCGCCTAGGCCACCATGCCCCAGTGCATAGAGCACGCTCTCTGTTTTCAAAAGGCTTGAGATTGTTTTGTTTTGTTTTTAAATCTTACTGGAGACTCAGGGGAGCCTTCTGTTTATGTGACAGCTATGAATCACACCACATCTTTCAGGGTGCAAATGATGTCCCTTTGCTTTCAAAATTAAATCAGCCCCAGCTCCTATGGTCGTTCCTCCTCCCTGTTCATCCAGCACTTCTGTGAGCCAAAGGGGTCCCCCCAACCCCCAGCAGGTAGCGGGGAGGACAAGGGTGGAAGGACATGGGCCCTGGCGTTGCTGGGTTTCCCCCATCACCCCACCTCTCTTCTCTCTGCCACTCTTGGGGCTGCTACTCCAAGCATGCTGGGGACGTGCCCACCTCCAGTGAGCCTCTGTACTGTGTGCAGGCTGGACACAGGCCATTGCTCTCTAGGGTCCCTTCTCTGTCACAGAGCCCCAGAAGTGTTTCCCCTGCAGTCTCCCCCACAAGGACTGATCTGGGTTCCTTTTCATCTCAAAGACTCTGTCAACAGGCTGCCCTTCCAGCCTTTCCAGCCAAGAGCACCTGTAGGCGATGACATCCAAGGTCCACCTTGGCACAGCAGCTAGGGGAGGTGGGGCTTCAGAAGGGAAGGGAGCGCCAGTCCTGGCTGACTTCAGACGGTGATCACTCTAGACACTGCCTGCAAGCACTGAGCTGCTTTTCTCCTCACTGCCAGCCAAACACTGAACAGTGCCTGGACACTGTACTACTGTGGGGCATTCACAGTGCCCCCACCTCCCTCCATGGCCCAGTGGCTGGGCAGCCAGAGCAATGCTGGTTCTTCACCCCCAAAAATGTGCTGCTGCCCCTCTGCAGGTTTCAAACAGGTCAGTACCCTGTTCCAGAGAATAACTCAGACTCAATGAGATCCTAAAATGCTCTCAAAGCCACCCTGCCCCCTCTTCCTTAGACCAGGCAGGAAATGTCTCTCTCTGTCACCTCCAGAGCTGGACTACTCCAGCCTCTATTTCTCATTTTAGTGGCATTTTAGGGTAAGTTCTTGAAAGTCTCCATAGACAAGGCTGTCAGCACTCCCACGACAGCCCCTCCTCAGGCCTCCAAACTCACTGCCCTGAAAAATGCATTTGTTAAAGACCATGAGACTGTGAACATCAGCTTAACCTCCCCAAACATCAGCTTTTTATGACCATTTTTGCTAAGTAAATTGAAGTGCTGTTTCCAAACAGTCGTGTCACACAGCATCAAAGGCCAGCAAGGTCTGTATTTACAAACTCTTCCTCCCTCAGTACAGTTGGAAACACGCCTTTATAGTGAATACAGTCATGTTGATTATTCTGTGGGCCATCCAATAAAAGTTTCAGCAACAAAGGTTTGACTAATAACAATTTTTCATTTTCTCTAAATGACTGAACTCTCGCTGTAGTTACTAACATACCTGGCATTCCTAATAGTTTGATTTTAATTTCCCACTAAGAAGAGTTTCTCATCCCCAGCACAGCAAGCCCCCCAACAAAACTAAGCACTCATTTTAAAATTCTCCTTTCTAAAACTGAGATGGCACATGTCAGCTACAGTCTGTATCATGGGGGCATCAGACGCTGGCCTGTACACCCCGGGTCATGCTGGGTGATGACCAGCACAGACCATGCTTCTGCCTATCACTGGTAAACAGTACAAGTCCCTTGTGCTTTCTCTCCACATGCATGGCTTTTCAGTGACCTTGGTTGAAGGGCAGGGTCCAGTCAAGTATGACAAAGAAGTTATCTGTACTCTCTAGGTCTGGTCCCCCTTTGCCGTTATCAGTGAGAGTTCACTGAGGAGGCCGGGACAGTTCCAGCCATAGTAAATAACACTTAGCTACAGGTTTCACCACTTACTGTATCTACATTGTAAAAAACTGATCTCATGCTAAAAAAAAAAAAAATGCAGCAATTGTGATTCTGCACATCAGCTCTCTTGACTTCCAGAATTCTGTAAGTAGGGGAAGGGCCGGGTCTTTTGAAACCTTGTGCAATTAACCTTTCAGAAAAGGAGAGAGACTTCCAGAGCAGCTGGGGTTGGAGGCTGCAGGGTCTCCCTGACTGCAGAAACTCCTAAAAGGAAGTGTCCTAAAAGGAAGGCTGTCAGAAGTGGGTCTGTCTGGTTACTGCTTAAGACAGATCAGCAGCAAGATCCTCTCTTTGCCAGGCAGTTCAGAAGAGCCCACGGTGGTGTTGGAGAAGTTTTTTTATATGTGACCATATTAGGAAAGGTACTATTAAACAGTTCTGAGCATTTTAGGTGTAATATTTTCAAAACAGACACCCCTGGAAAGTCAGAAAATGCTCGCAGAAAGCCAACCAACCCTCAGGCAGGCACACTTGGATTTCAACCATGGTTCTGCACTGTCCGGCTGTGTGGCTTCAACACATTGTTGTTCATCCTTTCTGAGCAAGTAGCATCCCCAACGAAGTGGGGATGGTCCAAGCTGAAGTTCAGCCTTGGCGGCTTCTGCCTGCTGCCGCCTCCACCACTCCCTGCCTCCTGCATCTCTAGCTGGCTACTTCTCCTTCCAGACTCAAAGCAGAGGGAAGCCTGTCCTGGCCACACATTTATCTGGTAGAACTAACTGTGCCTCCCTTTCCATTTCTCCGCTCCCCTGCTCTAACCTTGACCTCTGTCTCATCTGGCTGAGCCCTTGGGACACACTTGCAGGTCCTCAGGCACATAGCCGTCTGAATCCACATGCAATTCATGCCCAGAGGTAGCACTGGCAGCAGGGACTATGGTGCATGGAGGGATTTTGGGCTTGTGTTGGGAAGGGAGGGACATCAAATGCCAGTGTGGGGACTTCGTCTTCACACAGTGGAGATGGAGGGTGGTAGGAAGGATGCCTTTAAATGGCAGCACTCTGGCTGCTCTGTGGAGATAGAGGGGAGAGGCACAGAAAACAGGGGGCAGATGTGGGCAGACAGCCAGAGGCATGACAAAGGTGGTGTGGCGGACCAGGGAGGAAACCATGTAATTAAAAAAATGGTGCTGGGAGGTGAGGCAGAGGAGGTGAGAAGTGGTGGATGGAGAATGTTCCAGAGCTAGAGCCTGCAGTAAGAGCAGTGGGCTGGGCAGGAGTTGGAGCTGGGCTGTGTACCTCAGACAGGCCAAAGTGGGCTGGCTGTTCATGTGAAGTTGCAGAGCCCAGAGGTGGATGCACAAGGGTGGAGGCCAGAGAACAGCAGCATCTGGCTCGGAGCTTAGGGTGTGGCTGAGGGTGCAAGGCAGTGAGACCAGAAGGACCAGAAGGGACTGAGCCACCAGTTAGGTAAGGGAGAACCTGGAGAACTGATGTAAATCCAGTGTGTGAGTGTGTGCCTTTGTGTGTCCTCTGATGAAAGCCAGTTCACTTTAGTGACTGAATAAATCTAGCTTTCCACTTATGGCTCCACTTTGCACCCTGGTTAAGGTGTCCTTTCCTCTCCCAGGTCCTGAGGACATTAGTCATCCTCTCTGCTGCAGGTTTGACATTTTCACTTAGTATCTCCGATATGCTGAGATACCTTTTCTACACTGTAGGAGAAAAGAAACCCATGCTTCTCCATGCAGGTGACCAGTTTTCCCAGAACCCCTTTCAGAATTCTGTAATCCTCCCTGATCCACAACACCAGCTGTGTCATTTATTGAGTTGCCTGTCTAGGTCTGTTTCTGGACTCCATTCTGTTCCACTGGTTCTTTTTTCTGTCCTTGGGCTAATACCAAATAATAATTAATATCTAAATATTTAGGCTTCATAGGTGTTGGGTAGGGTATGCCCTCCCTCCCTCTTTCTTCTCCTGCAGAAGTGTCTTCAATAGTTTAAGCTTTCCATGGATGTTTCAGAAACATCTGATAAATCCCCACAAAGAACTCTGTGGAAATCAGGCATGATGGCATTCAGCTATAATCCCAGCACTCAAGAGACTGAGCCAAGAGAATCTCAAGTTCAAAGCCAGGCTGGATTTACATAGCAAGATCCTGTCTCTAAAAGAATTAAAAAGAACTCTTGACATTTTTATTGGAATTGTGTTAAATCACATCTCTTTGGTGAGAAGTCATCTCTTTTAACACTGAGCCTTACTGTCTACCATTATTTTCTATCTTTCTGTAGGTTTTCCTTACTGTCTTTAATTCAGTTCTATAATTTTCTGCCTTGGGTCTTTTGCATCCTTAAATGCTTTATGATTTTTATTGTAATAAAATATTTCTAAAGGTATTTTCTTAAGATAAGCTTTCTGCTCATTACTCTTGCTAAATTCAGTAATTGTACTTGCCAGTAGGTTCTCTGGAAAATAAGTTATGCCCTCAAATCATACCTATAAATTACAACAGCAGGGTTTCCTTTCCAGTCCACAAATCTTCTGTTTCTTTTTCTTGCTTTATAGCAATGTCTAGAACCTTCAGTTCCATGTTAAAAAGAAGTTGTGAAAATGGACTTCCTTGTTTTATCCTTGGTTTTAACAGAAATGCTGCTAATGTTTCAAGGTGAAATAGGTTTTCTCTAAAGGTAAGTTTATATATTAAGTACAAGTTCTTCAGCAACAATAAGAAGTTCCTTTTCATTCCTGTTTTGTTAAGAACTGTCAACCATGGATGGACATCGATTTTATAAATGCTTTTCCCATATCTGTTGAAGCATTCGTGTAGCTTTTCTTAGTGTCTTACACAGGGAATTGTGTTGATGGGCTTCCTAATGTTAGACCTAGCTGACTCTCCTGGGTGAGCCCAGTTTGGTTAGGATTTGTTAAAAGTTTGCACAATTCTGGATTCCATTTGCAGGATTTTGGCATATGATCTGTGTCTACATTTGTGGCACTCATCTATACTTTTACTTCTCATCTTGTCTGGAACATGACCATGACATGACATGCTGCTTTGGGATCAAGATTAGACTAACTTTGTAGATGCATTTGTTACTCACTTTTTTCCTATCTTTTTTAGAAGGGTTTTTGCAGGATTGAGGTACCAGCATCTTGAAAGTCGAGTAGAAATGCCCGTGAAGTTATACAGGCCCAGAGTTTTCTTTATGGGGAGATTTTTAACTGCCTGCCAATTTATTCCCCTCATGGTTATGGAATATCCAGGCATTCTTCTTTTTGTCAATTTGGATAGTTCATATTTTTTTTTCAGGAATGTATCTACTTTTCTGACGTTTTTCAAATTCATTGTCAGAAAATTATTGATAATATTATCTCTATTGTCTTCTTTAGGCCCTACTATATCTATAGTAATTCATTTTATATAGTTATAAAAATCTTTGACCTCTCCTTCCTCCTTCCTCGTGTTATTTTCCTCCTCATTTACTCTTATAAGAATTTGCCTGTCTTTTCAAAGAATCAAGTTTGATCTTTGCAGGTTCAATTATACCCCTGGTTTCTACTGTCTTGATGTCTGCTCTTTGTCCTCTGTGCTTTAGCATAAGTTGGACACAGACTTTTGATTTTAGTTCTTCTTCCTTCTTTAATGAGCATTTAAAACTATAAACTTCTAATTATCACTTTAGTTGCATCCAAAGTTTGATATATAGTTTTAAATTTTAAGAGGACTGGGGGAGTGGCTCAGGGGGTAGAGCACCTCCCTACCAAGTGTGAGGCCCTGAGTTCAAAGTCCAATACCACAACAAATAAATATAAAATAAATAAAATTATAATTCAGTTCTTTTTGTGTTTTTTTTTTGTTGTACTGGGGTTTGAACTCAGGGCAGGCACTCTACCACTTGAGCCATTCTGTGAGCTATAATTCAGTTCTTAATCATCCTAATTTCCATCTTGACTCCTTCTTTGATCCACAGAACATTTAGAACATTTGGAAACATTTGTTTCCAAATAAATATGGTTTTAAAAAGTTATTAACTTACAAATTAACATGATTTTCTTAGCAAATCTAATTGGATCATATCAATTCTTGGAAATATTTGAGACCTGATGTGTGGTCATTTTTATAAATGTTTTGTTTGTGTCTAGATGGTACGTGTTGGGTGAGGAGCTCCACATTTATTTATTAAAGCCAGAGGTCATTTCTGCCTCATGAGTCTTTATCCTTTTTAGTCTGGTCCATCAATCACTAAGGGATATGTTGAAATTTCCAGCTATAATGGTATATTTATCAGTCTCTTGCAGTGTTTTTTAAATTGCGTGTATACAGACTTAGAGCTGTTCTGTCCTCCTAATGAAGTTAACCTTTCAACATTATGAAATTGTCTTCTTTAAGCCTGGAAGATAGCTTTTGGCTTAAAGTCTATTTTACCTGTTGTTAATATAACTACTCCAGCTTTCTTTTATTTGGTGTTTTCTGGGTATATCTATTTATATTTCTTTTAAATCTTTGGCCCCTCTGACACTTATGTTTTGGTATGTATATATTATAAACAGCCTGTAGTAGGTTTTTAAAAATCCTGTCTAATGATCTCAGTTTTTTTATTTATATGGGTGTTTGGGCCAGTTACATTTATTGTGATTACTGTTATATGTGTCTATTTCTAACATCCAGTAGTGTGCTTTCTGTTTAATACTCATCTCTTTTATATTGGTCAGCCCAAGCTGACCTTGAACTCACAATCTTCCTGCCTCAGCTTCCCAAGTGCTGGGATTACAGGCATACCACCATGCCTGGCATTTTACAATGTTTTTAAGTCTTCTTTCTTGTCTTCTTTTAGAATGAGCTTTTAAAAATTCCTTTTCTAACTTTCTCTTTCTTTGGAAGTTATCTTATTTCTGTTCTTTTAACCAAGAACTGGCTATGCTCTTGAATTTTACCATATGCAACAAGACAAAAGTCCAGAGTCTAAACATCTCCATTGTTCTCCAGCATGAGTGAGCCAGCATAGTGACAGAGACTAAACAGGGCCCTGTCTTAAATCACATGAAAGCACACGCACTTCTCACCTAAAAATTTGACTGGCAGGTCAGGGCTTGTATGGTGCCTGAAAGGTGTTCAGATTTTCACACAAAGCCTGAGGATGGTCATTTTCATTTGTTTTGGGGAGCTGGGAGTGGTGGCTCAGACCTGTAGTTCTAGCTACTAATGATGTGGAGATGAGAAGGACCACAATTAGAGGCCAGTCAAATGTGTAGGGGAATTCATAAGACCCCAACTTGACCAATGGCTGGGGGCAGTGGTGTGCACTTGCCATCCCAGCTACGTGGGGAAGCACAAGTAGGAAGATGGTGGTCCAGGCCCACCTGGACGTAAAGCGAGATCTTTCTCAAAAATAATCAATGCAGAAAGAGCTGGTGGCGTGGCTCAGGGATTAGAGCACCTGTCTAACAAGGTTGAGGCCCTGAGTTCAGCCACCCCAGCCCCAGCACCACCAAAAAACATTTTAAAAATTCATTTGCTTTTGGAGCACCGGAGTGGAGACACAGAAGTTTTTGGCAACATGTGGACTTCGGGGAATGGGGTCAGGGCCTGAGCCCCCAATCTTACTTCTCACGGGGCTGCTTCTCCCTCAGCCTGTGCTGAGGCTGGGGTTCCATCAGCTCGGGGCCTAGGCAGACCATCAAATTGGAAGCAAATTTCTGGGCTTCTTGACTCCCTAAGAGCTTTCAAGTCATCAAAAGTGGCTCATTTAGGATGCCTCGAGTCATTTTGTTCTATCTGCTTTGTGTGGTTCCATGGTCTGTGGCATCAGACAGCAACAACACAGAGCCATAATCTTCCGAATGCTCCCTTTTCATCTTGCAAGAAGACATTTTTTGCCCTTGGGGTGAGATAAATTGTGGGTACAAATCCAGCAGCTGAGGCTGTGTCACCTGATGAGCTGTTTGCAGACCCAGGTGTGCCAGGAAGGCTGAGGAGTGAGTCAGACTGGCTTCCCTGGGGACACGGGTGGGCCAGAGGTTTGATGTGGATTTTTTCCTAAAATGTTTTCATCCCCTGCAGCTCAGTCACTGTGACTAATCATAAGATTTAATGGCCCTTAACTGTTTACTAAGGGCCCAATTCAATTAAAAAATGTCCTGCAGAAGCCATGAATAACCCTCTTGTCTTGGCTTTTCCAGTCTTCGAGAGGCTTCCTCTGAGCAGAGGTCAAATGGATTGTGCCTTTTTTATTTTTTCAATCAGCATGGGCCTTGGCCCCTGGAACATTTGATGGCCCTCACCTCCCACCCTGTTTCTCTAGGGCACGGGGAGAGCTGACCTTGTTCACTGTTGCTTGCTTTCCAGTTTGATAGGCTCTGGAGCAAGATGCCCATCAATGCCAAGGGGAGGTTGAAGTACCAGGACTTCCTGAGCCAGTTCAGTACTGAGAAGCCACCCTCACCACCAGCCCTGGGCGACCCCACTGCTGCCCACCGGGGCAGCAGTGCCCCAGAGGTCTCCGAAGGAACCCGGTCACCCTCTCGGGACCTGAGAACTGGGCTGAAATCGCGGAGTCATCCCTGTGTGAGTTCTCAGCCCTAGTACCCTCACTCCCCACGGCCTGGGTGGGAGTGTGTGGCTGGCTCAGCTCTCCCTCCCCAGGTGCAGATGGCCAAAAAATGGGCACAGGAGCCTGTGAACAGGGCAGAGGGGCAGGCCCACTAACCTGGAGGGGTGGGCCGAGCTTGGTGAACAGAGTTGGACCATGAACACATTTTCAAGGTGGAGCCCGCAGCATTTCCTGATGGACAGGGTGTGGGATGGAGAAGGAAAGGGGAGAGTCCAGGAGAACTAAGTGTTGACAGGGCAGCTACTAGAAGGGAGTTATCCCCCAAATGTGAAGGATCTGGCTCAGGAGAAAGACATGGAGTCCCACTGAGCAGGAGAGCTGCTATCAGCCAGCCACGGGTGGAGGAGGCGTGTGTGCAGAAATATCTGGGCTGCACTGAACTGACGGCCTTCCTTTCAAATGAAAGAAAACAAAGAATGACTACACACTCATCCACATGTGTTTACTGAATTGCATCCCTTTCTTTGGTAGGATTCTTCCAGTGAAAAATATACCATAGTCACTTCACACTGCAGTCACTTCATACCACACACACCACGGTCCTTCACACTACACACCAGTAATACATTTGAACCCAGGCTACATAGGATTCTGGTTCTGATTATTATTGTTTGGTCCAAATATAGCCTACTGATGAAAATTAAAAGATTACATCTATGTAATCATGTTTTCATTTTACTTCTGAGCTGATACTACCTGTAAGACTGTGACCCTCAACCCCCAAGTCCCACTGCAGTTTTATTACTTCCGCTTTAAACCTCTTGTTGAATGACATGTTCTCTCCCTGCCAGACCCCAGCGAGCACGATGCTGGAGCCGGGCACCCCGCCCCTGCAGAACTGTGAACCCATTGAGAGCAAGCTGCGGAAGCAGATCCAGGGCTGCTGGCATGAGCTCCTAAGAGAGTGCAAGGAGAGGGATGTGGACAGGCAGGGGGCATTACCGCTCCTGAGTTCCTGGGTGCGTTTTGGCTCTATCCCCTGATAACACCTTGTCACCCTTGTGGCTGACACAACTGAGCACAACTCCATAGCCCAGTGCAGAGGAAAGCGACAGAGAGAGGAGCACACTCTGGCACTTTTGGGTGGAACTGGCAGCTGTGATATCCCACATGGCTTAGTCCACACTCCACCCATTTCAGCACTAGAGATCTGACCTGGTTGTGGTCACTGGGAGACTGAAAATGCCCACAGACTCTGACAGCAAAGGGAAGGGACAGGTGGGGACACTCAGCCCCACCCATGGCAGAGGGGAAGGGTGCAAGAGGTTGGGGCAGACACTCTTGGGCATTCGCTCCTGTTAGCATCCCACTGTACTGTCATTTCCCTGTTCACTGTGCGTCATTTTGATAAGCCTCTAAAAATTAAGCCAGTTGGATTTATCCTTCCACTAATTGCTGCATATTGCTCATGCCACATTTCACATCACAGGGGTAAGTCTGGGCACCTGCTTGGCTCCCTCTCTTCCTAGCACACCTTTTCAAAGGAGGAAGTTTTCCTTGGAGCCCTCTGATGCGATTAAATTACTTTATCGCAACTGTGGATTAAAACGCAGAGGTTGAACAAGGTGTAAATTCTTTAAGATAACAGATCCTATAAAAAATATTTATAATTAAGTTTGAAAAAATAAAGTAAGTAATAATCAAATGCTTTTTCAATGATGTAATGTGATATATTTTGCTGAAGACAAATCAGCAATATTGGGTTTAATGCAAGTTTGGACTCTGCTCGACTTTTAGTTAATTCTCTGGTTTTGAACATGGTGAATTTTAACGTGTGCGCTCTTGTGATTATCATTGCTCTTTTATTTAACCATGAATTCAGGTAAGCCACCCGTTCTTTCTTCAGTAGACTTGTCAGACTTCAGCAGTGCATCTAAAATTCAACTCTGCAAAAATAAAAAGCACTGGCTGGTTTTCAAGTTCCTCTGTATTTTCTCCTCACTGACGATGACCTTCTGCGAGACAGGGCAGGAGAGCATTGGTTAGACAGTTCCTCTGGGCCCCACAGCCTCGCCAGCTAGCCCTGGCTGGCTTTTCACCTCCCTTTTGTGTCCAAGGTGGGCAGCAGCACCTTCTATACAAAGTCTGTGTCCACTTCTCGTCCTGACCACTCCCAGAAATCACCAAAGCCCAGGGATCCCATCCTCCAGAAGAAGTTTTGGCCTGAGGATAGGAAGCAAATTGGAGCCCAGGAGTGGGGTGGCAAGTGTTGATACCTTGCCATTAAGGTGTGCTGCCTAATGTCAGCCAGGTGGTCCCCGACGTGGCATGACCCATGACCTAAAGCCAGACTCAAACCCCAGCACTGCAATAATTCGTCTGTTGGGTGACCCTGCACTACAGAGTGTGCTTGACAGATTTTAGACGTCACTGGGATGAAAGCTCAAAGTGTAAATTCTCATGACCTAACAAGGCTCCCAAGAGCAGCGCTCTGCTGCCCAGGTGAAAACCATTTGATCAGAAAGCCCTGACCCCTCCCCACAGCCCAGCCCCCACCAGATACCACTGCTCCCTTGTGTACCAGCTGCCCCTGACTCAGTCCAGCCCCCAGATTCTGTCCACGGGGCATAGGCCCTCCTCCAGGTAGTCCTTGCTCCTGCAGTACTGTGTCCACATTCTGTGGCCATAGCTCTGGTGACCAGGACAGCAGGTTACCCTAGGACAGTCCAGGCCAGCAGGACCAAACCCCCTCCCTGTAGCACTTAGTTTATTGTGCATTTGTTTCATACTTGTCCACCCACTAAGCCTGAGTTCTGTGCAACATGGAACAAGCTGAGCTCACAGGAGATAGTGCCTCAGCAAGAACTGAATGAGCTAATGAGTGAATGAGTGAGTGCATGGATGGCCACCAACCACACTGCCATTTTTGTCTTTAGCTCTTGTGGAGAAATTCAACCTGGATATAAGCAAGGAGGAGAGCCAGCAGCTCATCATGAAGTATGACTTGAAAAACAATGGTAAATTTGCTTACTGTGACTTCATTCAGAGCTGTGTCCTCCTGTTGAAAGCCAAGGAAACCTCACTGATGCAGAGGATGAAGATCCAGAACGCGCACAAGATGGTATGTGATAAGGTGTCAGAGATGTGCAGGTCATCACATGTGGGGATCCCTCTGCTTCACAGCAAGGGTGGGCTTGGTGTATTGACTGGCTACAAAGGTCTGCTGGCCAGAGCCCAGCCCAGCTCTGCTGCCAGCCAGGATTCACTTTCCAGATGTCCCCAGCCTCACTGCTAGCTTCCCATAAGTATGACTCAGGTGTTCTCTAGACACATATGGTAGGTGACAAGCAATGCCTTGTCCCCAATTCCTCCATTACCCAAAAGCCCATACAGCGGCAGCAGTTGCCAAGTCAGCATGAGAGGGCAAGGTTTGTGTGTTAGGCTTATGCCTGGAGGCAAGGGCTGGGGCAAAGGTGAGGCTACCATCAGGCTCTTGGAACATGCATAATGGCTCAGAAACTCACTATCTTGGATATAATTCAAGGATTTCCTTTCTCTCCCTCTAGGACCTTATAAGGGTCAGGGCACCCAGGCTGGGAATTAGTGGCCTAGACCCTGGTTCCTCAGACTTGTTTGGATGGCTGACCTGCTTATGGTGGCTTTTCCTAGAGCACCCAGAAACATGGGAATGACAGACAGTCAGTGTGAGCCACTCACACAAGGCCTGGGAGTTAAGAAAAAGGCAGTGGGTATGCAGATTTGTTTGTGGGGGGGTGAGGTTACAGCTAAGTTAAACCTTGTGAACTTAGATGTAGCTGTGGATACTCATCAGTCAGCTGAGACCAGCAGAGCCTGGTCTGAGTGGAGCACCTGTCACTACCCACATGACCACCCACGATTGTCCATTCGTTCTCTCTTCAAAAAGAGTGGGGAACATAAAGATGCTCACGTGGCACTGCAGTCCACATCCCTGCTGATTTTGCCTTTCATTCTCAGTCATTCACAATTTTGTCATTGGAACCCACACCCAAAGCCAGGTCTTTCTACACCAGGTTGCCGAAGATGGGTTTGTTCCATCTTCCGGCACTGTGCACTCCTGTAATGCTGAGTGAAGTTGGGCTAAACTAAATAGCAAATGCAGTTGCATTATCACTGCCAGGGACAAACACAGCTGATTGCAGCCACCTCACAGCTTAGCTAGGGGACCAGATGTGTACAGTGACCTGACCCAGTCTCCACCCACGCACCCCAGACTGCTGTCAGAGGGATCAGGAGGAGTGGGTTCACTCTGCAAAGTGGTGTGTGCATTCCACGCAGACATTTCACACAGCAAGATCCTCCTAGCATGGTTTCCGGTTTAACTAGGCAGGAGTTGTATCTAAGATGTAGGCCAAGTTTATGAAGGAAAACAAAGTTAAGGCCACCCTTGGGCTAGACTAGTTCTGTGAACAGGGAAATGCTGTCCTGGTACGAGCCTGGTGGGACCAGGAAGGTCTGCTCTCTCCTTCCTCTGCCACTCTGGGCCTCAGTTTCCCCTTCTGTAAATGAGGGGGAGGTCTGCTGGGCTACAAGGTCCTGTGAGGTGTGGGCAGGGCTCTGGTAAGAAGAGAACACAAGTGCCCCTCTCAAGTCTTGCTTCTGGACCTGTTATCTCAGCAAGGCCAAAAGGCTGTGACACATGCTCTGGGTGGCCTGAGAGGCCCAGGGCCTTGTCAGATGTCCCAGCACAGTCCCTGCATTCCTTGCCCCTACCCAGGTGCCTTTCGGTGGTTCCAAGTGGTCTTCCCACCCTGCCACCCCATGTGTGGAGAGGCCTGTGTGCCCTCCTAGGACAGGGTCCCGCACTGCACCTGATACCTGTGTGGTCCTGGGCACAGTCTGCATCTACTCTGGCAGCTGCCACTCTGGTCAGAAGTCTCTCTGCAGAGAAGCTGAGAGGGAGAGTCCTCTGCAACCTTTAGAGGCATCCTTGAGGAAGCCACTTGGCCCATTGTTTCCCGGGGTGCGGGGGTGCAGGTGGAGAGGTGTCCTGCAGGGTTGACTCTGCTGCGCTAGGATGGGAAGGGATGTGGGGTGAACCAGAGAACCCCAAGCCCCTGCCTTACAAGGCATGCAACCCTACCCATTATGCAGATCGGTAGCTCACACAACTCTGAGCACACGGGGTGTTTCCACCACAGGTGCTAAAAGATAGAAAACTGAAAGCAATTGAAGTCTGTGCTAATTTATTTTATGTAGCACCATGTTAAAATTAAACTTCCCCAAAACATGTTACACATTATTGCCTACAGTTCACCTCTGTGATAGTCAGACATGTGTTGGGGCTAAAACAACCTGTTTTCTATCTAATAGCACCTAAATGAAATAATCACAGCAGAGTGCACTTCTAATTACTAGATATCATTACAACCCTGGTGATTTTGTCAAGCACCCTTCATTCTAATAGCCTGCTAGGAGACCCAGCCTGAACTGCTTTCTTTCCTCAAACTGCTTTGAAGTTGGGCCAGTGTTTGCCCATCTCTGCCCTTGTGGTCCCTGGGAGGGAGGGGACATGGCCTGCTATGTGCAGGGGTCAGAGCCAGAATCGCTTCACCTCCCTGAGCCTCCTTTTGCCTTCTGAGACTTGGGCTAGGAGGTCACCTTCCTCCCAAGTGTGGAAGAGAGGACAGCATGAGACATGTAAGGCAGTGTTTTCAAACAGCACACAGCACACCCCATGCACAGAAGGGACAGTGATGCTATCTCCTAGCAGGAGCACAACCAGGCAGTGCTGCCTAGCCGCCCATTGCATTTCTGAGCCCTGTCCGCTCTTGTTTTTAGAAAGAGGCTGGTGCCGAGACGTCCTCCTTTTACTCTGCCTTGCTGCGTATCCAGCCCAAGATCCTGCACTGCTGGAGGCCCATGCGGCGCACGTTCAAGACCTATGACGAGGGTGGGACAGGCCTGCTGAGCGCGGCCGACTTCAGGAAGGTGAGTCTAAAGGCCGGGGCCAGGAAGGCGCACTGCACTCCTCCAGGAAGGCCCAGGTCCTCACCCTCAGTGGGCCCCAAGCTAGGGAGGCCTGATGCCAGGGTCTCCTCCTTCAGGGAGGCACCGTGCCCAGCACAACTGCATGAGCTCAGCTTCTCTGGAGCCCACTGTGGCTGCTCCCAGAGCACTGAGCAGGTCTGGGACCCCATCAAGGCCTCTGGTCCTCACTACAGCCCGAGAAGAGCATCTCTATGACAGGCACAGTTGGCCTCCCTGGCAGCCTGCACAGCAAGCCCCAGCCCTGCAGTGCACCCTGGGAGGAAATGGCTCAATGTCAGCTGTGTCCACCCAGCCTAATATACCCTGCAGTGGCTTCCCAATGCCTCCTTTCCTGGGGCCAGGCAGCCCCAGCCAGGGAGTCTCCTTTCATGTCCAGCAAGGATGGTATGGAGAGGAAGTAGGGTGGTCTCCTTCCCTCTGCTCAGGCAGCTTCAGGGACTGCAGGCATGGTGGCAGGGAGAAGGCAGTACACATGGGAACACTGCCTCAGCAGAGCTGGCATTGGAGATCAGATGGGCGTGACAGGCACTTGGACACTGGGTCTCTTTCCTTTATTGCCTCAGTCCATTGGCTCCATGGCCAGGCCAGCTGCCCTCAGTCCTGGGGATCCCAGGGTCTTCTAGCCCCACATTCTAGTCTCCTCTTAGAAACAAATTTTAACACAAGACCATGAAGAAGAAATTTATACCCTAATCCATACTTACCAGGGTAGCTGTTAGGATTTGCTTCAGCTGCATGTAATAGGGAAAAGGTAACACCAGCTTAGTGAGAAGTTTATTTCTCTCCCACATAAATGAAATCTAGAAGAAGGACGTCCAGAGCTGGCATCAAGGATGTATTTTGCTCTTACCATCCTCAACACCTGGCTCCTTCCACAAGGTCCAAGGTGGCTGCTGGAGCCCAAGCATCATATCCATATTCCAGGCAGAGGAGAGGGAAAAGGCACGCCCTTTTCACTGAGAGAAGGTGTTCCAGCAGTTCCACATAGCACTCTTGTTGAGGTCTACAGGCCATGCTGCCCCCAGCTGCACAAGAGGCTGAGAAATGGGCCCTATTACCTGGACATAGCCATGCCACTGAGGTGGAAGGGCAGGTGATATGGGTGGACAGCTAGTGGCCTCTGCCCCCAGCTGCATTACTGTCATTACATCACTCATCTGTGGACCCTCCTCTGCCTGGTGGGCTGCATCTTGAGGCCCGACCCATGTTAAGGCCCCTGGCGAGTGTCCCCTCCAGTCCTTCCCCCTCAACCTGGAGGCTGCTTGGCCAGGGTGGCTAACCTAGATCTGGAGGGACTGTGGGAGGGTGGGGCTGGCAACTTGCCGCGTGGGCAGACAGGGTGCTGCTGGGAGGGGGTCAGAGGCAGGGAGGGGCAGGGAGAGGCAGTGTGTCCTGGTCTGTGTGACATGTCATGATGGGACGCGGGCGCTCTGGCTGCAGGTGCTGCGGCAGTACAGTATCAACCTCTCGGAGGAGGAGTTCTTCCATGTGCTGGAGTACTACGACAAAGCGCTGTCCTCTAAGATCTCCTACAACGACTTCCTCCGCGCCTTCCTCCAGTAGGTGCCTGTGCTGCGTCCAGCAGGACAGACATCGCAGCATCTGTCCCCAAGACTAAGAAAAGTGTGGCCTGGAGGGCATAATGAGCCTCCCAAAGCATCCCCAGAGCGGCTCAGGCAGGTTTCAGGCTCTCGTGGCAGTGGCCCCCACCCCTGTACCTCCCGGGCGTTGGCGGGGCACCCCGCTATCTTTAGGCGCCCTCATTCCTTGGTTTGAGTAAATAAAACAGTCTTTGCAGGACTGATTCCTGAGAGTGACAAGAACTGCTAAAGATAAAACAATTTGAACGCCTGGAATTTGCGGGGGTTTGATTCATGATTACTGACTGGCCACCTCCTCCAATCCAGAGCCCTGCACTCCATGATCCAGGGTTCACCTCCTCCCTTATATACTGCTTACCTATTGTCCTGGGTCAGAGGACAGCTGGAGCCCTGTGGCACTATCTGTGTAGCTATGTCTCTGTCCCTGGGCCCAGGGTGCCGACTGACCCTGTCCCCCAATGGCAGCTCTGCCCATCTTGGCTTTGGGGTGGTGACGAGAGGTGGGGGTGGTCTTTTGGCTTCATCACAGTTTCCTCTGCCATCGTCCTGGACTGAGACCCCTAGAACACAAACAGTTGTGCAGATTTGCTTTTCACCAAACCGTATGGGGTTAGGACTTTCCCGCGTGGAGCAGCAGGCCTACATCTACCAGCACCACAGGAGCAGGGCCTGGTGTCTCCAAGGGAGGCCACTAGGAGGGTGAGATCTCATAGCCCTGGCCAGCCGCCCTTGAATCCTTTGTTTCCTGAGGCCTCACTGGGGTGAACAGGCCTCTTCCTGCCCCTACCCTCATCTGAATACAGCCATGGCTGCTCAGCAGGAGAGGAGTCAGAGGTCACCCAGAAACCACATGAGCTCTCAGGAAGCAAGGGCAAGGCAGGCTGTCCTGCGGGTACCCTGGGCCCCAGGCCCTGCTAACCACAACAGCCCACTTCCAGCTGCGCCACCCACAGGGGTGTTTCCAACCCCTTGCAGAGAGGGAGACACTGGGGGTGGGGGAGCCCCTGGAGTGGGGGAGGGAGGAAGCTAAGTCCCAGGGGCACAGGCAATGGCAGGTGGCCCTGGGTAGAAAAGAAGGGGCTCCAGCCAGGCCAAGACTGGGGAGGTCTCAAATCCTAGAGAATCTGGGGTCAGGGGAGGGAGCATGGCTGCTACAGGTGAATGGGACAGGCAGCCCAAGATCCAGGGAGGAGGAGAGGAGCCAAATAGATTGATAAAGGAGGCATGTGGAGTCCTGGGGCAGAGGCATCCTAGGTCCCAGAAGCTCCTCTGTGACGGTGCAGGTCTTGCCCCATCTTGTTTCTCAGTGTCCTGAGCCAGGGATGGGGACCGTATTGTGTCAGCCAGGCCTGTGGTGGCAGATGTGGGTGGGAAAGAGGCATCAGTCTGCAAGGGACAACCTGCGGAGGTCCAAGCAAGGCCCAGAGGACACCAGCCAGCTCAGGACTGAGGAATAGGCAGTGCTGATGCCCATTGAGCACAGGTGTGTGCCAGACTCTGGCCCAGCACTCTTTGCTCATCAACAATTAGACTTGCATTAGTATCCCCACTTGACAGGTGAGGAAATACACGTTGGAGGTTCACTGATCCCCAGTCTCAGCGGTTGGCCCTGGCATCGAGTGGCTACCCAGGGCAACATCTGAGGTCACCGTCCCAGGCCTCAGGCCTCCTCCTGAGGCCTGGATGAGACAGTATGTGCTATATGGACTGTGTAAGTGTCTCCCTAAGGCCTTGTGCTAAAGGCTTGGTTCCAGCCCATGGTGCTATCGGGAGGTGATAGAAGCTTCAAGAGATGGGGCCTTGTGGGGAGGTATTTAGGTCATTGGAAGGGTAGCCTTGAAAAGGACAGTGGGACCATGGCCCCTTCCTCTTCCTCTCTCTTTTTCACTTCCCAGCCATGAGGTAAGTGGTGTCACCCTGCCACATGACTGTGCTGCCCAACCCAGGTCCAAAGCCACAGAGCAAACCAATGATGGACTGAAACCTCCAAAACTGTGAGCCAGAATAACCCTTTCTCTCTGTAAGTGGACTGCACTGGGTATCTGTTACTGTGCTGGGAACCTGACCACACAGCATGGATCTAGGGAGGACAGCCTGGCATGCCTCTCACCCAGCATCCACATTCCTGTGCCCCTAGGGAAACCCTCTGTCCTCTTCCACACAGCCCCACATACTCCTGAGGCTCAGCTCCAAGCTCACCTGCTTGGGGACCCTCCTGTGAACTCTGTGCAGAGACAAAGCTCCCTGCTGGTGTCCTCAGGGGCAGCATCACCAGGCAGTGTGTGGCCTCACCCCTCCCCTCTCGCAGGACCTCTGGGCACAGAGTCCTCAGTAGTGTAAGAATGTCGGCCCCTCCCCAGCCCACCACCTGGCACACGGAAGTTCTCTAGCCTGGCTGGGCACACCCTCTGGGCCCCTTTCTCAGACAGAGGGCAAATGAGGCTCCAGGGCGGGGTCCACAAGTTGGGGAGCAGCTTTGGTGGGTGCGTGGTGGTGGGGGCTTCTCTTCAGACTGGTCCTGTGATGCTGGACTACCCGGTACCAGGTGGCATGGCGTCAGACCTGCTGTCCCTCTCCGGCCACATATCCAGCTCCTGGTAAAACAAGTTCCAGATCTTACTATGCATTTCCCACCAGCAATACATATTGACACGACACCTGATGTCATCTTTCTAACAGGATTAAACTGCAATGTTGTCTGTGAAAACAGGCCAGATGACACTGGGCTTTTAGTGAGCTCTGGAAAAGAGGTTTGACATCTGCCACCTGTCCTCCCAACCCCAGAAATGGAAAATGTGTTCCTGCCAGGTGCCGGTGGCTCATGCCTATAATCCTAGCTACTCAAGAGGCAAAGATCAGGAAGATCTCGGTTCGAAGCCAGCCCCGGCAAGTAGTTCACAAGACCCTGTCTCACAAAAACCCATCACTAAAAAGGACTGGTGGAGTGGTTCTCAAGGTGTAGGCTCTTGAGTTCAAACCCTAGTACCGCAAAAAAAAAAAAAAAAAAAAAGGTTATGGGACAAATAAAAACAGTCTGTAGAGACAGAATAATCAAAAGAATCAGACTCAGATATGACACAGATTTTGAATCTAACAGGAAAAAAATTAAAATAACGGACTCATCTGTTAAAGCTCTAATGGAAAAGGAAGATGTCACACACGACCAGATAGGAAACACCAGCAGAGATGAAGCCTGTAAGAAGGATCAAGAGGAATGCTAGAAAGGAAAGCCATAGTGACAAAGACAAAGAGTGCCACTACAGACTCATCAGCAGATTCAACACAACCATGAAAAGAATGAGTGGACTCCCAGACTGCTCACGGAGAGGGACAAGAGAGGGACAAGAGAGGGACAAGAGAGGGACAAGATAAGATGCCCTCACATATGCTCAGCTAGAAATAAAGTGGGGCGGGGGAGAGACATGAGAGAGAAATATTTGGATAAGTAATGGCTGAGGATTTTCCAAAATTAGTTACAAGACTAAATTACAGAAGGAAGAAGCATGGTGAGTCAAGCAGGAATCACGCATGTGCTCCCAGGTGTGCTGTATTCACACTGCTACAACCAAAAACAAACAACAAAAATGAAGCCAGCTAGAGAAGAAGAACCTGCTACATACAGAGGAACAGGGTGAGAACTGTGGTACACTTTTCATCAAAACCCATGCTAGCCAGAAGATAATGGAATAAGATTTACAGAGTACCAAAAGCAAAATGATCAGGCCAAAACTCTACTGACAGGAAAATACCCTTCCAAAACAAGGTAAAAACTTTCTTAGACAAAACTGTAGGAACTCGTCATTTCTCTAAAAGAAATGTTAAGCTTGGTGTGGTGGCTCATACCTATAATCCTAACTACTTGGGAGTCAAAGATAAAGAGAATCTTGGTTTGAGCCAGACTGGGCAAGAAGTTTGCAAGACCCCATCTCAAACAATGACTGAGGCGTGGTGGTGCATGCCTGTCATCCCAGCCTTGCTGGGAAGCACCAATAGGAGGATCTCAGTCCAAGCTGGCCTAGACATACAAAGCAAGAGCCTATTTCAGAAAAATGACTGGAAGCATAGCTCAAGTGGTAGAGTGCCTGCCTTGCAAGTGCAAGGTTCTGAGTTCAAACCCCAACACCACCAAAAATTGTGAACAAAGGCTGGGGAAGGCATGGGCGTGCACACTGGGCAGAGGCAGGAGGGTGGCAAGTTTGAGGCCCACCTGGAGTACTCAGCCAGACCCTGTCTCAAACAAAGATGGGAAAGTTGAAGAAAAAATTTAAGGAGTATTAAAAGAAGTTCCACAGGAAGAAAGTATGACTTAGAAATTTGGATCTATCCTAGGAATGAAGAGCATCGGAAATAAAATGATAAAATTAAATATTTTTATGTCTTAAATTATTCTAAAAGATAACTGTTTAAAGTAGAACTTGTAGCAATGTGCTGTGTTGGGATCACATTTAAAAGTATGCCAACGGCTGGGTGCTGGTGGCTTATGCCTGTAATTCCAGCTACTTGGGAGACCGAGAGCAGGAGGATGGAGGTTCAAGAGCAGCCTGGACAAATAGTTCACAAGACCCCATCTCCAAAATAGCCAAAGCAAAATAAACTTGAGGTATGGTTCAAGTGGTAGAGTACCTGCTTTCTGAGTGCAAAGTCCTGAGTTCAAACCCCAGGCCCAACAAAAAAAGTATGACATGTTGCTGAAGGAATGGCAAGAATTCAAAATGTACTCTTCAAAGGTTCTTACGCTACATGTGAAGCAGTATATTATTTGAAGACAGACACAGACTGTTTTATTTGTAAACTATAGAGCAATCACTAAAAAACATAATCTTAAAAATATATGTGTCACAGGTAAAAATAAGTCAACAGAGGAGGTAAAAATGGAATTATAAGAAAGACACCAGGATCACATGATAAAGCAAGAGCACACAAGGGAGATATGAGGATAGGTAAGACACCCAAAAAACTAGA